TCTTGATGTCGAGATGATCAATTTGAAAATTTTTCAACATTAAAACAAAATTTTTCGATAAATTTTGGAGGTGCACCTTTGCAATCTTATATAAACTTTTTTCGAGGTGCATCTTTAATAATATATCTTACAGTTTAGTGAATATTTGGATTAAATGGGTTATCCGAGGAAGCTCAAGCATTAAGACGAATTTTTAATCCGATTTTAAGCTTCATCACAATTGACAATGAACACTAGATAGAAATGATATAATTTTAAAAAAATATCTTTTTATTTAAAATAAAAAGACCGTAAATTTACGGTCCTTTTGACCGTAAATTTTTTATTTAAAATAACACTAAAATGACACCCTAAAATTTAATCGCATGCTACTTTTCCTCTCTCAAAAAATTATCTCCGTTGAGAGCTCCCCATACTCGGTTTGTCGAGATTGGATGGCGCTGAGGGTGTCAATAGAATTGTTTCTCTCTCATCTGTCTTTTGTGTTTCCATTTTTGGGTTTGCTGTTTCTCTCACTAAAATCGATGGCGATGCCTGTTTTGATGGAAAAAAAGTTGGGGTTTTTTGGTGAAGGGATTTTTGGTATAGAGAGAAAGCTGGTTGTTGTCGCAGTAGCCCTGTTTCTTGTCCTGAAAGTTTCTGATTTCCTCACTAGTTACAGGTTTTGATGCTACAGTGTCTTTGCTCCACAAAAACTGCCATTTTTGGAAACTGGAGATGGACAATTGAGGGTCTGGTAGTCACCAGGAGGACCCAGTCGAAGCTCTGTCTCTCTGGTTTTGGGCCCGAGCCTCCCCTCTTCCAAAACCCTAAAACTTTCTCTCTCTTCCTTTTCGATTCCATTTCTCCGAGAGTTTTTGCCATTTTCTAGTATCATTTGAAAAAATGGTGTTGCGCTCTGATTAGGATTCATTTCTCCTTCTTCGCTCATGTTGGGGATTGGTAATTTGCCTTTAAAGGAAATAATCGATAGACAAGGTCAAGAAACCACCCTGAACAGCGGGAAAAACAAGTGGATCACAGGAAAATTCACTGATGGCACTGAATATCAACCGAAAATGCACTTGGGTGATTCAATCTTCTCATGTTTTTTTATTTTCTTTTTCTAATGGTTTTGATTGATCTTTATTATCTGTTTCGTTTAATCTGTTCTTCTTTATGGTTTGAGAATTTTAGGGTTATGTTGATTTTTCTACCTGTTTTTAATGCTATCTTTTAGGGTTTGAGGTTTGTTGAATGGGGTATGAGGCGACATTGCACCAGTTTCAGCCTCTGGCGAGGCAGAGTTCCATCTTCAATCTTGCCATACAGGAGTTTGCAGAGCCATGGTGGTGACCTCTCAAAACCCTTGACCACCATGAATATTGACGAGTTCTTTAAGGGTGCTTAACCTTCTTCCGATGGAGCCCTTGGTTCAAACTTAGTAGTGGCTGTGACTCTCGAGGACTTCCTCCTAAGAAGTCCTGTCCATGTCAACCTGGCCCGAGCTTGGGCCAGGTCTACGTAGACAGGGACTCCATGGCCAACCAGCTGAGTTTTTGAGAGAGAGGGGAAAAGTAGCGTGGGATTAAGTTTTGGGGAAAATATGGTAGATAATTTTTGAAGAGAGAGAGGGAGGAGAAAGACATGACGCAGAGAGGAGAACTCTTCGGTAATTTTGTGATTTAGAGCGATAAGAAAAAAAAAAAACAATGAGTTTGAATAGGGTAATTTTTGAAGAGAGAGAGGGAGGAGAAAGACATGACGCAGAGAGGAGAACTCTTCGGTAATTTTGTGATTTAGAGCGATAAGAAAAAAAAAAAAACAATGAGTTTGAATAGGGGGGCATTTTAGTGTTTATTTAGATAAAAAATTTATGTTTAAAAGAGTTTGAGGGATTGTAGAAGCTTTTTTTTTTTTATCAATAAAATAATATTTTTAATTCTTGAGTTTTATGATAAATAGAAGTTAAAAATAAAAGATTAAAGAACATTTTCCTTATAATTTTAGTGGGTGTCAGCTTTATCTCAATCGCTCCCTACTTTTAATTGTCCCACACTTCTCTAGGTAAATAAAAAATAAAAATAAAATTCAAAAAATGATAAAGAATCAAGATGAGCTAGCCCTTCAACTCCCTTATAAAACCGTATAGTTCTAGAAAGGAACAAGCTTGTTCAAAGAGAAAACTGGCCGGTTCCTGAAATACGGTGGGAAGTAGAGTAGATATAACAATTTTTGATATGGATTGGACGATTGATCTGAATTGTCAATTTTTATATGGATCCAGTTGTGAATGTGACCTAATTTGCCATGGCAATGGGGATAGCACTTTGCCCTAGCATTTCTAATAAAATTTACAATTTTTATTATTGGAGAAGTTTCTATAGGGCCTAGGCTTTATGAAAACAAAATAAAACCTCTACTAAAATCCTTATCCGGAAAGCACTTTCAGCATCGAAAATCTTCACGATGGCTCTAAAATATATTTCCAACACCGACAATAAAATTTAAAACTAAAAAATATGGTATAGATCTTACGGATCTGTGAACACTTATTTTTTGGGCAAAATGGATGATCTAGATGATTTATTGCATTATACACCATTTTAAAATTTCAAATTCTGATTTCTTTCATAACCATAATGTCCAAGCTGAGATTATCGATTTAAAAGTTTTTCTATACTTAAAATTGTAATTTTTGATGAGTTATAAGGTGAGGCTTTCATTATTTTGATAGGGTTGTAGCCTTGTCAAACTATTTTCTTTTATTATTTATTAAAAAATTGTGCAATAGTGCAGATTACATTAAGAAAAAAAAGAAAAGTGCAATAGGTGTTCAACCAAAAAGGGATGACTGTAGAAATAAAAACTGACCAATACCATCCTTGGCCCATTGCATTATCATAAAAGAAAGATATTGTCAAATCCTCAACATAAGTTCAGTGGCAACCCACACCCATCATGCCCTACACTCTTCAATCTATTTTAAGGAAAAAATAGATGCTTTAAATAATAAAATTAGAGCCTATATAAAAAATTTCACTAAAAGAGGTTATTTTGATGCTCAAATATCCTCAAATTGATCATCTCGATATCAATATATATGAACATGAGAAAAAGATGGATTTCAAGTTTTAGAAATAGTGCATCTTATAACGTATTTTTGGACCGTTAATTTTCAAGATTGTCAAGTGTTTCTAGATCTGCTCGATCTACCCAATTTTTTAAAATTTTAATTTTATAATTAAATATAAAAACATATTTTAAAGCTATCACAAAAATTTCCAGTATTGAAACCACATTTCTCAACACTATTTGAAGGTAGGCTCCAATTTGATTGGTTTTGAGCCTAGGCTCTATACTAACCGCTCACCCCCATTTTAATGGTCTTTCTTCAATACATGGCCAATATACCCTTTCTCAACATTTTTAACTCCATTGAAGCCCGTACAAAGTATTTTTCATGGAAAATTGTTGCATGCGCTAGGGGATCCATTCCTATATTTGCATCATAAAACATCCATTGTAAAAATAGATACAAATGCTCTCTCAAAAATAAATATTTTTAATAAATTATCGTTTTGAATTTTTAAAATTTATCTATGTTCATGATCTTCATGCTAGAGATTATAAATTTCATAAAAATTAGGTCCAAAATCTATTTCACAAATAAATTTTTAAGAGAACTCATTTGTACATATGAATCCTAGGACTTACAGAAATCGTGTCCAGATTTCATTCTATATTACCATAAGAATTGTCACCTTGTAGGTCCTCGTGCTTTTAAATCCTCTAAATTTTTGTACATGAGTTCTAGGACACACATAAACCCTGTGCAGTTTTCACTACTACTTTATAAAAACATTTCCATCATTCGACCATTTAAATTTATGGCTACTTTTACATTAGCCCCTCGTGCTTTTAAATCCTCAAATTTTTGTATTCACTACTGCTTTAGAAAAACATTTCCATCATTGAACCATTTAAATTTAAGGCTACTTTTACATTAGGCCCTCGTGCTCTCATGACCTCAATTTTTGGTAGATTTAAAAATGCCCACTTTCTTTATTTAACCATTTAAGAGTTCTTCAATACTCCATTGCTCTTTTTTTTTTTTCCCTCTCAAATACCATACGCAGCACAAGCTTTCAAATCTCACATTGGCCCAAATGATTGATATGTGACCTCCTTGTATATTATACCGCTGATTCGGATGAGGACTCAATCGGCTCTATTTGAATCATATATAAAATATTGGTAACTAACCAAGTTCTCCTATGAAATGGTCGGTTGTGTCAGAGAAACGATCAGAGCTCCATGTTTTTAGAATTTTATAGCTTTACAATTACCAAAACGGCCGACTTGGAGTGGTTTTGGTCACTTTTTAATGGTTCTTTAACAAAATCGACCGATTCTCTGATATAACAGGTTAGAACGTATCTCATTTAATTATTTTATAATTTTTTATTTGATAACTAAATGGTTAATTTGTCAAATCAGATTGAAAATCTTAAAAAAAAGAATTTGAATCACCGATCCGTTTTTCAAAACCTTTAGCATGCAAATGCAGTGCTACGATACCAAGCTTTAGAGAGAGAGAGAGAGGAATGAGGAATTTTGATAATAATGAAACCTAAAATAAATATTTACTTGAAGATTTTAATAAAAGCATAACACGCACCACGAGCTCTCTCTCTCGCTCGAATGAAGGCATATTCCTGAGGCGAAAATTTCCTCCTAATTTGTTAGCACACCACCGAATATTCCAGTCGAGATCCAGCCCCTAACGCCACGCAATATACACCGACCCAGTAAGATGATGCCGCGTGGCTCCACGTTGACGAAGATCACCTGGGAGAGTCCACATCACCGAATCCATCTCAGCATGAATAGATGACGTGGAAGGCCTCCCGGATCTTGTGGCTCGCGTTAACCCCTTTCTCATCTCTCTCTGTTCGGACCTGATAGATCCCCAAACCCCTCTCTCTCCCTCTCTCTCAATAAAAAATAAAAAATAAAAAAATCACTCCTCTCTCTAGAATTTCAATCTTTTTTTTGCCCCCCACACTCTCTCTCTCTATATCCCTAACCTCATATTCTGCAATTATTCTGGGACTTGTCTTTCTCTCTCTAACTATCTTCCCGTATTTTGTCACGGATCCTCTCCAATTCTCTCTCCTCTATGGTCGACCTCGAACCAGAACCCCGGACCTTGCTCTCTTTCTCTCTCTAACCATATCCCCTGCAACTTCCCTTGATTTCTCTCTCTAATTCTCTCTCTACGCCATGATCAACTTGAGGCCAGAGCCTCGCACGTCGAGCTCGGCAACTGCAGAGAAAGCCCTCTCCTTCATCTCGAAGGGCTGGAGAGAGGTAAGAGAAAATGCAGATGCTGACCTGCAACTCATGAGAGCTAGGGCAAACTCCTTCAAAGACCTTGCCACCTCTTTCGACCGAGAGCTCGAGAATTTGCTCTCTTTTAAAGGTGGTTTTGAGACTAACTCTCTGCACGAGCTAGGGTTTGTGAAGAAGCTTCAACCAAAGCTGTCGGAGTTTAGGAGAGCTTACTCAACACCTAATTTTGGAAGAGCAGTTCTTGGGAATTGGAGCCCTAGCTCCAAATTGGACCTTTTAAACCTCGTTTCTGAGCAAGAGAGAAAAATTGTGAGGAGAAGGGTTAGGACAAAAAAACCAAATTTCCAGTGGAAAGAGGAGGGGGACGGGCAAAAGGAATGGGAGCCATTTAAGGTTTTGAGAACAGGGTTGAAGGAATTGGAGCGCAGGGCTTCTTCAGGGGTTCCTCCTCCTGATATTTTCACCAACTTTAAGAATAGCGAGTTTGTCGAGAAATTGAAGAATAGTCTGGTACCTTTCTTTCCTCATTCCCTTTTCTATTTTATTTGTTGATTTTTAATTTGTGGGAATGAGTTGTGATAGCTTTTGTTGATTCAGTTTATTGTTATATTAAAGTGTTTCTCTGAACTTGGTTAGCTTTTTAGTTTGCATAAGGTTACAACCTTAAATAATGAAATTAAGGCACACCTCCAAATGTTATCATAAATGTAATTTTGGTGTGAAACAATTCTTACGATGGCTTGAGAATCTATTTTTATCTCTAGTTGTAAAACTTTAGACTCCAAAAATGGTTCAAATCAAGTAGTAAGCACCTGAAAATATTGAAAATGGACGGTCCAGATAATTTGTTGATGATCAATTAGAGGGTTTTGCAGCATCAAAACAACCTTTTATGATGCATTTTTTAGGTGTTCCTTTATTCACATTTTAAGGTTGCAAACTTTTTCCTATGTATACACACACACATACATAATTCAATTTTGGATATTTGATGATATTTGAATAACTACCAGATTGCAGTTTTTTCTGTTAGTTTGAATTGGTTAGTCTTTCAGAGATGAATTTATGAAATGATTGACGTAATAGATTATGTTTTTCTGTAATATGAACTAATTATTAAATCATCTATACCGATAAATAGTATAGATTGTCTGTACTCTCTGGTTTTAGTTTGTATGTACTCCCTCTTTTTAGTTTGTCTGTACGACGCATTCTACAGACAGAGAAATTGTCTATACCGGTAAATAGTATAGATTGTCTGTTCTATGTACTTCCCTTTTTTATTTTGTCTGTACTACCCATTCTACAGACAGAGAAATTGTCTATACGGGTAAATTGTATAGATTGTCTGTTCTCTCTGGTTTTAGTTTTCTTCACATTCTAAGAAATATTTGTAGAATTTATGTCTCTGAAGAATGGGTACTCTATTTTGTTTGCCTGAATTCTACTTGCACACCAGTCTTTTGAGTGATATATCTATTTTTTGAGGCAAAATTTGAAGTCTGGTCTCATGATATCTTCCCTCATTATTTGATTTGGATGAATAGTTGAAAGGAGAAACATTCTTGAAGAAATATAAGTATGATCCTCTTTGTGATGGGTCTTTTCGCATTTCTTTTTGGAGATAAATAGGGTCTTTGAAAAGAAAAAATGAAAAAAAGAAACCAATTATGAGTTTTACCTTTGCGTTTTCTTTTTGCAGCTATATGATGGAAGTTATTCATATTTCGTACTTGTCATTAATAGTCATTGTTTGCTTCATATTCTGCAGAAATCAGTTGACAAGGACTCTGACGAGTGGAAGGTTTCCCTCTAAACCTCATTAACCATTTATATTTAGTATTACTTAGCAACTTGCATAGCTAGAGTATGCTTTAGCTATGTGTTGGTGCATCTGTTAATGTATCTTTATCATCTTTCTGTTTTTTCACTTTTCATTTTTCAACAGGTTATTTCTCTAAATACTCTTGTAGCTTATTTCTTTTAGTGTTTGAGGTTTCATAACAGTGGAAATTTAATCCGACATTATTATACGTATCATAGGATGTGGCACCATTGGATGTACCTGAGCTTCTGGCATATTTAGTCAAGCAATCTGGGCCATTGTTGGATCAACTTGGTGTGAGACGAGGTAGGAGGTTCATAACCAGATCATTGTACTCATTTATGGTAGCTGAATTTGTCTTTTTTTGGTTTAGCCTGGTTTTGTGGGACATCTATTAGAGTACTGTATCTCTTTTCAAGTTGTTGTGTATAGAGATAAAGTAATTTCTTAGTGATGAAATGGAAAGTTGAAATGTATAGATTTTCTAAAATGCCCTAGAGTGGAATTCAGAAAAGGAAAATTGTTTCATGTGGACTGGACCGCATTTCTACATATGCGGTCGAGAAAGTGTGAAGCATCCATCTAAAAGATGGATGCAAGTAGTTGTTCTATCTTAAAACAATGGAAACGAACTGTCCAAATGTTTTCTTACTAGAATTATTATTTCTGGTTTTTAAAATTTATTTATTTTCGTATTTATGATCTCCATGTTAGAGATTACATGTCCTTAAAATTTAAGTCTTAAAATCCATCTCAAAAATAGATTTATTAAGAGGCCCTCATTTCTACATATGCGGGCTTGGCCACATGGAAACCAGGTCGTTCAGACAATGCCATAGAGGATTACATAGATTTCCCCTGTACTCATACAAACATATGGTTGATGATGGATGCACTTGATTCATTACCCCCTTAATCTGGAGCATTCATGGATGTCAACAACATACTCATTGTTTTGAGAATAACAACATACAAATTGTTCATATCAAAAAATTGCAAATGGTTCACCAATTTATGGCTCTAACTCTTTTTAATGACTTGTGATCGCATCTATGTCTTGTTCTACCCTGGCGATGTATCATGCACTGATGATGTCATAACCTTGGCTATCTTATATACACAATCAATTTGAATGTGTTTGGTTCTGTCCTGGGAGAATTAGCTCCTATTATTTGGACCTAATATGGTCTCTTTGAAGGGGGGAAAAATAGCCAAAGTGCCCAAAGCCATACTCACGTGAGGTTGTTGACATTTTTCTGCATTGAGTCTATACAGTGGAATTTCAGATACTGTCCATAAAATGATTTACAGGAGAGTTGATGCTAATGAGGGAATCAGATCTTTTTGTGACTTGGAAGTACTTATCCAGACCATCTACTAATACATTGGACCGACACTAGATGGATTTACTTGGTGCATGAATTCAAAGAAGTGCAAAGGACAACAGAAGGTGTAATGTCTGGTTCACCCAGCTAATTTTTTGGTTAAACTAAGAGGTGTCAATGAATCTCGTGTGGTTACCCCTTTTATAAGTGGAAGAAACTATACAACACTATTGATGTTAACTAATTGTTATGAAACAAGTTTCACTGGGGGTACTGAATATTATGGGCCTTAACTGCAGATATGACAGTGCCTACTTGGCCAATGGTGTAAAGGAAATGTTAGCAGCACAAAAAGTGGATAGATTTGTAAAAGAACGAAAATATGACATGGGGCTAGCATGACATGGTAGCCTAATGTAATTTAATAATGATACATGCTGGTTAATAACACAGTCTCCAATTGCCTTAAAAGAAAGTTTACAAATGACAATAGGGGCACTTGAGGATGGTTTTGAGAGTTGTCTTTTTTATTTTTTGGAGTCTAGCCTGTATATCAAAGAAAGAGGATTTGCTTTTCTTGATTATGAGATATGTCCTACATGTGGGAGAAAAAGAATCTATATGTGTGAGAAAACAAATCATGAGTAAATGTTGGAAAGTCTAGCTTACCTTTACATCTGAAGGATAATGCTATGATGGTCGTTGCTCGATTGTCTATCATCACATGCTGCCAGTAGTGACTACCTGTAACTGTCGGCTGTTATTTTTATCTTGTTTAAGACCCAACAAAAGCCATAGCCATATCTAGATGGAAGCTTTGTACTGAGTTAGTCGCTGCTCAAGCCTCAATTTCTTATATTGCAATATACCAATCCTATGCATCGACCGAAATTGCTGAAACTAATCCCAACAATTGAAGAAGACTTTATATTACTGACCTGGACCCATCATATTTGACCATGCACATCTATTTATAAGGTAAATAGATCTTTTCAGTAGCCACTTACTCGAATTTCTCTAATTCTACCTCCTGCTCTGCAATGCTTATGACACATGCAATTAATGGTGTACACCCCTGTTTCATTTTGTTTTGCCCAAAAGGCCCTCTTAGACTCTTTTGGAAGGAATTGTTCTCGAGCGGTGACTTGTTTATATGATTCTAGCTTTATCTAAACTTGGGAAGTGGAATATGGGAAACCGCGGTCCATTGGGGCCATAACCGTCCATCACCGTCCATCATTTGCTAGGACCATGATGTTTGCCTATACTATGGTTTTCTGTGGTCCATCAAATAGGGGTTTTCTATGGTTCAATTGATTAAGTATGATTTGTCATTTAAACTATAATGATATGTAGCCTCAAATGAATTCATGGTCTCAATGTATGTCACTGCAGATATGTGCGACAAGATTGTGGACGCACTATGCAGCAACAAACGGAAAGATCATCTTGAACTTAGCTCAGTTGCAAATGGGGAGGATAATGTGAATACCAATGATGAACTTGATCTTAGGATAGCCAGTGTTCTCAAAAGCACAGGTTATAAATACCAAGGCGGACTTTGGACTGATTCAACAAATAAAGACTTTGAGGGTCAAAACCGAAATGTTGCCATCATAACTACTGCAAGTCTTCCTTGGATGACTGGAACTGCAATAAACCCACTCTTTAGGGCTGCGTATTTATCGAAATCTGCTAAACAAAATGTGACCCTACTGGTTCCATGGCTTTGCAAATCAGATCAAGAGCTCGTTTATCCCAATAACCTGACTTTTGATTCACCAGAGGAGCAGGAAGCTTACATAAGGAACTGGTTGGAGGCAAGGGTTGGCTTCAAGACAGATTTCAAGATTGCTTTTTATCCAGGAAAGGTAATTGAGTTTCTTATGACATTATCGAAACTTATTTAAAATGAAGCAGGATTTTATCTTTATTTGTAAATGGATATGTGTTTCCAGTATCCACTGAAAAGAAAAAAAATAAAAATAAAAGAGTTTTGCCGTATGTAAACTGGCTTCCAACCTTTGCTGTTTCAGTTCCAGAAAGAAAGGAGAAGCATAATTGCGGCGGGGGATACTACACAGTTTATTCCTTCTAAGGAAGCTGACATTGCCATTCTAGAGGAACCAGAGCACTTAAACTGGTACCACCATGGAAAGCGTTGGACTGATAAATTCAATCATGTAGTTGGTGTTGTCCACACTAATTACTTAGAATATATAAAGAGGGAGAGGAACGGGGCTCTTCAGGCTTTCTTTGTGAAGCACATAAATAATTGGGTCATCAGGGCTTATTGCCATAAGGTACAGAGCTAGACACTTCCTGAGATTCCACACATTTCTATAAGTCATGATGCAACTTTTGTGTATCCATGACTCCACTTATTGTTACTAAAGCCACCTACGGAGCACTGCAAATTCCTTGTACTCTCTGTTTTTGCATTGTAAAGCATGTTATAACTCATTGAACTATGGAGTAGTAGTTCATTTGGGCTTGTAACCCCCAATGAAATGTATTTTGTGTGTGTGTGTGTGTGTGAGAGAGAGAGAGAGAGAGAGAGTACACTTGGACCTGGTAGTGGTACCGCTTTCCATCCTTGTACATTTCATTGGACGGTGATGACCCTATTGGACAGACTTCCATAGTCCATTGGGTTATAGTGTGTCCTTATGCAAGACTTTAGAGGTGTATTGATAGCTTGATTACTTGCGGTGGATATGCAGGTTCTACGTCTCTCTTCAGCAACACAGGATCTCCCCAAATCTGTTGTATGTAATGTACATGGTGTGAACCCTAAGTTTCTAAAAGTTGGGGAGAAAGTAGCAGCAGAGAGGGAGCAGGGGCAGCAGGCCTTCTCTAAAGGAGCTTACTTTTTGGGCAAGATGGTTTGGGCAAAGGGGTACAGAGAGTTGATCGATCTTTTATCGAAGCACAAGCATGACTTGGGTGGTTTTAAGTTGGATGTATATGGGAATGGAGAGGACTCTCTTGAAGTTCAATCCACTGCCCAAAAGTTGGATTTGAATCTCAACTTCCTTAAAGGGAGGGACCATGCAGATGATTCACTTCATGGGTAAAAAAAATATGGCAATCTTCTATACCTCTTAGCTTGAGAAGCTAGACTATTGTCTGACCATGGGAAAGCATAGTGCACTGTGGTCATGACTGTCCAATGAAATATGAGAGTGAGACGGAGATAAATCTGTGACCCACCACAATGGGGCATGACCCAATGGTGGGTTTCAATCTCTCCATCTACATCCATTGTTTCAACGAACATACCTGACTCATGACCCCAATGGCCTATCATAGTCCATCGTATATGACATATATTCCCCCTTTCCTTAGCTAAGAGATTTGCAATACGTATTTTTCATTATGTTTCCTCTTGCAGGTACAAGGTCTTTATCAACCCCAGTGCTAGTGATGTCTTATGCACCGCAACAGCTGAGGCCCTTGCAATGGGGAAATTCGTGATTTGTGCTGACCACCCATCAAATGAATTCTTCAGATCATTCCCCAACTGCCTGACTTACAAGACATCAGAAGACTTTGTTTCTCGTGTGAGAGAAGCAATGGAAAGTGAGCCCCAACCTCTCACTCCTGAACAAAGATATAATCTGTCTTGGGAGGCAGCCACTCAAAGATTCATAGAATACGCTGAGCTTGACAAAGTCTTGAATAATAGTGAAGAAGCCCAACCTTCAGGCAAAGGATTTGTGAAAATGAAAAAGTCAGTCTCGTTGCCAGGCTTGAATGAAATTGTTGATGGGGGTTTGGCTTTTGGCCATTATTGCCTCACTGGGACTGAGATATTGAGGCTATCAACAGGTGCTATACCTGGCACAAAGGACTATGATTTTCAACACTGTCAGGACTTGCATCTCTTCCCCCCTCAGGTGGAGAATCCTGTGTATGGGTGGTAAGAATATGGATGGTTTATTTGAATAGGGTTTTGTTGTTAGTGTATATAATATGTCAATGGTAAATCTTTTTTCCTCAAATTCATTTTTGAGAAATCTCTCCCTTCCTATCTAAACATTTGACTGTTTTCCATAAATCTTGATTTATGAATGCAGCTGAGTTCCATCCAGAATGGGTGGATGCTAACCGTAAGCATTACTAGTTGAGTCTTGGTTTTCTTTTCCCTGTAAATTTAAGTGCCCCAGCTCGTCTCTGGACGAGCCTCCTTGTAATTATATTATTTCGTCCGTATAATATATTTTTCTTTAAGTGTGAAAACTTTAATTCGTCACCATTGGTTCTTTTGCGTGTTGCTGGTTCATCTTGTCTGCAACTATTCTAATGGATCATTGTGTGAATGCATGGGTGCATAATATGTATGTGTTTCTTTTATTTGAATGCTCATGTGGGTCTTTTGGATCTAGTTTATGGAAGTGGTGTTTTTAGTGCATTGATGAGATTTTCTTTCTTGACTGTTCTCAAAAGATATGAAAGTGGGTGCCTGAGTATGACTGTAGTCAAATCATGGTTGTTATCTGCTCATCATGCTTTTCATTGATTGATTTGGTGGAGTTAGCACAGGCCTCCTATTTTGGGAAAAGGTTCTAAGCTAACAGGTTTAGAGCTACAATATAAACCAAGTTTTCACATCATTGCGTCGAAACGTAAAGGAAAAAAGGTTTAGGTTACCTGAATTCACTGAATGGCAGACTCAATTTCTTTCAATGTTCTATGCAAAATTTAGATTAGTTTATTTATTTATTTTTAATTTTGGTAACTGATGAGATCTACCTGAGTGCAATATTTGGGCTTCCCTACTCTCAAAGTGGCTTATGCTAATTCGATTCCAGTAACACGACGTGCATCTATTTGATCTCTAGGCTATAAACATGGAGTATTATTCTGTATTACCTGATATATCGAAGAACATAATTATACCTATATGACCTGTGTTTCAAGTGTCTTTTCAGTTGTGGTTTGCTAAATTTACATATTCCTTCCTCCTACTTGACTATTTCCATTATTTATGCTTAGCTTATAATTTGTATTTATTTGGATTGAAAATATTAAACGCCTTTACCATTCTGCTAATCGACCCCTGCTTTTGAAAAACTCGGTAAAACCTATTTGAGTACATACCCACCTTGAGGTTTTGCAAATGTAGCCTTTCGGCCGATATTGTGATGGTATTTGGTGCTTGCTAGGTATTTTAGGACACCCCTCCTAGCAAATGATGACGTGATATTCTCACCTCTAAAAATGAAAATAAAAATTCTGCATAAAAAAGCATGTATTGTACCTGGTTTTGTTCTTGTTCTTGGGTAAATTCAACTTTTATGCACCGGCATAACACTTTGATTGATTGAACCTTTTGGAAGAAGGATTGAGCTAGACATATTCAAAGACATCAAATTTACAAATCATGGTCAATATTTTGGCTGAATGCTTAATGAATGACGAGGACTACACTTAAAGATTACCATTTTATTTTTAAGTGAAAACACATTGGTCCATGATTGTGATGCATATTCTCCCTTCTCAACTTCTGAGAGGTTTCAAGAACATGGAAGGTTTATGCTCTTTCAATCACAAGGGGCCTGTGCTCTTCTACCTCTAGTTATATAGCGTGCTCCGGTGTTGAGCGCACCATACATCTAATCCTTTGTATGAAAGATTTGCATAGGAGGATTTTGTGAACATCTACATTAGAGTCGCTAGACGAGTATTTATAGAGGAATAAGATTGGACTTTAAATACGCATATCTAGTTATCCAAAACATAGAAGGTCTTTTTTTAGGGATTGTTTATAAAGAGACCATTTATCTTTTGTACATGGAGATCACAATCTTTAAATTTAAAGATGGGTGGTTGTAAGAGTGTCATTTAATAAGACACAGTTCTTAAAAAAAAAATCTCGGACTTCGTGATTCATCTCAAGCCCTCCAATTTGAGATCTAATGAGTGAGAATGATTGTGATCTCCATGTACAAAAGATAAATGAACTCTTTGTAGACAATCCTTTTTGTTTAATCTTAATACGCTATACTTTTTAGACACAATTATAAGGCATGTCCTTTTTAGTTTTTGTTTTTTGGTTTCTACATTTTAAAAAGTCTATCACTCCCTGTGCTCTCAGTTTCTCTCTTTATATTTCCCTCTGTGTTTTGTGGTAAAATACTCTTCATAGAGCCTCTCCTTTCAGGTATCCATTTTCCTCTCTCTATTTCCTCTCCCTTTGTTCCCTGTTTTACCTCTCTCTTTCCCTTGATCTCTTGTCACTCTTCTCCTCTTTTGCTATCAAGGTCCCGATGTTCGATCCTTCATCTCATTTGTGTTTGCTTTCGTCTCTTTTCATTCATGAGATATAAGTCTCTTTTCCCTTAGAAGCCAACAATGTGAGCCCATAACCCATTGAATTTCACAACAAAATATGGTAGAATTTGGTCAAAGTTTTAATCATGCCTTGTGAATACATTTATGAAAACATTTCCCATTTAGAGAAACCTGCTAAAACTTCGATAAGCCTATAATGGAAGTCAAATTCTTAAAGAGTATTGTGACCAGGATTCTTATATTGTTGATAGACATTTGAAAATCCCCTGGAATATTCAAGATCTTCCAATTATTCCACCGATAGGAGAGAAAAGGCAATGGGTAACTGCTGATGGTTATCCTATTTCTTTAATAGAATCATGGAGATGTGTTAATTCCAGATACCTTTGTCAAAACTTCTGTATTTCAAACCTTTCCTCAAAATATGGTTTTTCTCGTCCCATACTTATAGAAGCTATCAGAAGAAGAAGCTCCAGAATATGCTCGATACTGTAAAAAAGACTTCAAGAATAGAAGAAAAGAAAGATTTTAATTTTCCTCCTATGTTTGATGCAGATACAAGAATTTCAAAGGATGAAGAGGAAATCATCTGGGAAATAAAAATGGCTTCATGGGCAAATATAGTATCAGATAAAGAAAAAGAAAGAAAGGCAAACAAGTAGTCACTTGTGAATCTGCAAAGAAAGATTTTATTTCTCCTCAAATGTAGACACAAGAATTTATTGGGAAATAAAAAATGACTTCATGAGCAAATATGGTATCAGATAAAGTAAAAATAAGAAAGAAAAAAAAAAGGCAAACAAATAGTCACTTGTGAAATATCAAGCAATAGAAGGTATGAGTTCTGCCAGATCTTTATCCAGTTCACGTGATGATAAGTCACTTTATTTCCTCAGATGAAGAATAATAAATTTTAAAAGTAAAACAATATTTTAAAAGTGACTATAAAGGAATTTTCAGAATCTACGTGATAAATCGGTTGAAAAGGAATTAACAAAACACTAAGTTTACTAAATTAGTAAAATGGTACATGCTCAAAATCATTTATTAGTATCGACAAAAATAGCCGTTGGTGATGGAGAAAATTGAGTTATTTATGGACACCGAGGGTACCAAAGAATTAGGGAGAGACCCGATAAAATATCCACAGGGCAAAGAAATAGAAACCATCAAATGCAGAAGAAAATTGATAGAATTTTCGGGAGACATGCCTTTAAAAATTGGAGATAAAGTCAACATGGTAAATTATGTTAATATTTATGGTGGTTACCGAGCACAAAGAGGCTGCGTAACTTTAGATCTGCTAATTTTTACTATAGAAGGTGAAAAAGAAATTGTGGTTAGAACATTGCCCTCTTTCTCTTTTTTTGTTATCCTGTTTTCTCTTAATCCCCTTCATTTTGTATTAGAGGCCCATGTTCGATTCGTCGTCCCTTTTGAGGTTCCTTCTGAGCCATAAGTCCTATTTTCTCTTAAAATCATTTTGTATTAGAGCCCCATGTTCGATTCTTCGCCACTTTTGAGGTTCCTTCTGAGCCATAAATTCTATTTTCTCTTAAAATCCAAAAGTTTGAGCCCATAACCCACATATTTTTCGCGACAAAGCATGGTACAGTTGGTCAGGTTTTAGTCATAGCTTCTTGCTAATATATTTCTAAAAACATCTCCCATCTAAAGTCTGCTAAAACTAGCTTCAATAACCCTATACTGGAAGTCAAACTTCTTATTTCTCTCTTTTTCCTCTCCCTTCTTTGTTTGTTTTACATCTGTTCACTCTTCTCCCCTTCTTTAGCCGCCCCCTATTCTGATATCAGAGGGGCAGCAGAGGGAACAGGAAAACAAGCATTTACATCTAAAACTTGATGAAGTAAAAATATTTATGGGGAGCGTTCTACCAATTGAAGCATAGGAACCTCCTCAAAGAAAAGATCAAAAGATTCCAAACTTGCCCTTGTTTTGTATTGAAAATGAGGAACAATAAAGGGCATTTCAGTATTTTGACCCCAAGCATGGTTGGCCGGGCTTGGCTAACCCAGTTGTCTTGGCCTTAGTAGAGCGTGGGCCACATTAAGCGCCGGGCTAGGGCCAAGGCGGCCTGGCCCGTCCCTCGTTTTTTTCTTATTTTCTATTCCATTCTTTCGTCATTTGTTTCTGGCTTGGCTCAGCCCTAAAGGCACAAGGACCAGGGTACTCTAATTAGGATTAGTAGTTCCACATTACTAATCCTAAATAGAGTGTTCTTTATTAGTAATGAGCAACAATAGAGAAGCATTTTTGTCATTTAGTTAGAGCCACTTTAAGGTTAAACTACTAAGGGAAAAGTTTATATAGAGCTGAGGCTTTGAACAATCAAATTTGAGCCTACCTCAAAAATTTTACTAGAAGTGGTTGTTTTGATGGCTAAATATTTTCAAATTGATCATTTCGAATTGGGTAGTTCATTTATACCAGTATAGGAAAAATTGGGTGGTTCCAATTGGAACTGCCTAACTAGATCGGAACTGGCCATTTCGGACGGTTTTGGTGAACCGGACGGATATTTTTTAAAAAATTAGATAAAATCCCAAAAAATAAGGGATTTTGTTTGTAATGTATTTTTTTAATGTTTTTCATCATTTTGGTTGAAAATTGTTTTGCCCATTAATACTTATTTTTATATTTTTCCATCTTTTTAAAAAAATTTAAAAATACCCTTGGATACAAATCAATTATTTAAAATATGTTTTTCATTAATTTTCAACTTCATTTCGATGTGCTTTGTTTAATCATACTTTAAATATACTTTTTATATTTATTAGATTTTTTTTGTACTGTTTTTATTTTTTTAACACTTTTGTTACCCGCAAGACTTATTGTAAAACTGATAGGTTTTATCAGTTAGTATCGAATAACCGCTTTGGCCCCATGTCTGGTTAACCGTTCCGATTCGATTTTTCTAGACTGACTTATACAGCCAATT